TTTTGGATTCATATTTTGGACCAGTATCCGAGGTCAATTAGTTGATCATTAAAAAGGGGTCATTGCAAATTTCAAAATAATCTTTTACATGCCAAAGATAACATTCGGTTTCATATAATAAATTAATGTAATTGTTTAATTTAAAACAAGTAATTGGACATACGTATTTTTCGTTATAAGAAATCAGACAATTATTATGTATTTTGATTTATAATAACCCTTGATTTCATCCAACTATTATTTGTTTACTCATATTTAACCTCCCTTTTTGCATTATCCTCGATCAATAAAACAAATTTTCGTTCTACTGTTTTATATGATTCCTTCTTCTTTTGTTCTCTTATGACAAATGAGAATAAAAAAACAAACGGAACACTTCAAAACAAAAATTCAATTAAATCGTTCTGTTGTTCGTGTGATGATTTTGCCCGGTTCCTACCAGTGTGTATCGTTTCAAATAATATTAATAATGTGACGTTAAATCTGACTTGCTCAGAAATGATCTTGAATTTTTATTGTATAATAACTTCCGGCAATAAAGAGCATCGAATGAGCCTATATGTAATTTCGAAATAGTTTTATATGTATTGTATTAAATTAATAAACATATATACTTATTTTTTGGTACTAGTTTTGAGATATGAACAGAAATTATGAAATATTGCACATTTGAATGAGATTACATAAAATTGAAATCATGTTGTTGATATCGTATTATTAACTGGAGAAACAAAATTTATTGCAAGAAATGAAAATAGGGAAGTACCAAATATATCGGGGATTTACAGTGACATCGATCAATAGTCACTTAGGAAAACTAGTGCGTGAAATAAGCAGTTAATTGTGCCAAGCGCCTTCACCAAAATAGCAAAAAAACGTAAAAGCGATCAGTTTGTTATTAATTTTATAAAATTTCATCCTATTTTATTAATAAATATATGTGACTTAAAACACAAAAAAAAAACGTTTTTCAAGCTTTAGGGAAATGCGAAGATTAGCGCAGGATAGGACAGACTGGAGGTGCGTGTCCAACCAGTCTTAGGACTGACGACCTTACGATGATGAAAATCATGTTATTTTTCTAGATTGCCTTACACTGAAGCTGTGATAATGGAAATCCAAAGAATCTGTAGCGTAGCCCCACTTGCTGTCCCCCACAGGACCATGCGGGATACGGAATTACGGGGGTATTGTATCCCAAAAGATACCGTAGTAATAATTAACATTTACAGTGTCCATATGGACCCAAAATTCTGGAAGAATCCTTCCCAGTTTCACCCTGAGAGATTTCTAAATGATAAAGGATCACTTTCTATACCAGACTGGTATTTTATACCTTTCGGACAGGGTATGTCATATTTTTAATAACAATTACGTATATTTTAAATCAGAATTATAATTCACTAAAAAATGTATGTATTAAGATAGCGAACTGAAAACTCAGTCGATTTGCCCGGAACGCACTCTACTGGACCAATTAAGTTGAAATTTAGCAGACATATGGATTTCTGTGACCCAAACATGGGCCTATAACGTAAACAAATTAATTTTGAACATGGGGGTCATTTTTGGGGAGGCAATAGAAAATTAAAAAAAATGTTTGGCAATAGTATCGTGTGACATATCAAATGGTTAGAAGCGTTC